AGTAGTAGTAGTAGTAGTAGTAGTAGTAATAAAAATAAAAATAACATCAAATGAAAGGCTCTCCCCTAACCTCAGAATAAACTTGTAGACATAAATTAACACAAACTGACTATTACCCCTCACACACATGTGTGTGTGTGAGAGAAAATCGGAGCCTTTATTCAGCTATTTTTCGTCACATCACCATTCTCGTAAACTTGTTCATACGTTGGTGAGCGATAACCACGACCGAAATAACGTGCCAACTTCCAGTAGAAATACACTGCGCCGTCCCTAAGAAGAAAAGGAAAGTCAGCCCAGAATGCTGGGTGAGGTAAAAGAGATTTCCCACATTTATCTTGCCGGAAAAAATTCCAGATAACCGTTACAACTATGTACATGGCGAGTCCACCAAAGATAAAGACAACAAAAACACAACCAACTCCACATCTATTCTTTGAAAGGGCATCTGGACAAAGAGCTGTTGATAGTGCCGTTGCATAATACATGTCAAATCCTGAAGTTCTATCGTTACTAATATTGTAGTCCTCTGATGGCCACTTCAACGCATCCGTATTTCCACAATGTAGAGTTAGAAGCATAGTGGAAGAAATTGTAGGGATAGCTGAGAATGTTAATTGTATTTCTCTACCAAACATAACATTAAACCCTTTGAGAGTCATCGTTTTTGGTTTTTCTTGTGGTCTAAACAGCGTCACGTAGCCTTTATTATCATTACAAGGAAGAATGGTCCAATTATATACAAAAGGCAAACCTTCCTGTCTCGCAGAGAGTGTGGTTTCGGGAATTACGGAGAGGTCGTAGTCATTAATGATACAAGAAGTGACTAGAGCCCTCGTAGTCCAGAAATTTGACATGAAGACCATAAATAAAAACAGAGAGAAAAAAAAGTTCATGGTTTTTTATTTATTTATTGCTTCAGATGGGATCTCTCTCTCTCTCTTTCTCTATCTATTTATCTATCAATCTATCTATCCCTTTCTAAATGTATATAAATAAATATATACTCTATTTGTTTCTTCCTTTATGTTGGCGTGCCCGTGAATGTGTCTGTGCTTATGTAGTCCCGTAGTTTACACACATCGTTTAAAAAAAAGAAAAAAAAAAGAAAAAAAAGGAAATATTTAATAAAAAATAAAAAATAATAATATGATGGTATCCAATACGGTGGGTAATATGTATGCATCTAGATGTGGAAAGAGAATCAAATTGATGTAAACTTTGGACTTGATTGAATCTTTTTCCTCTTTTTGTTTTTTTCTCTCTCATTCTATTATTCTTTTCGTTTTGTACTGTTTCTTGAATCTCTCTAAATACTTTTTTTTCTTTTTAATCCTTTTCTTAAAACTCTGCAATAAAATTCTTCCCTTTGTTTTTATATCTTTTTCTTCTTTTTTTTATCTTTATCATGTTAATTTTCTTTCAGTATCATCTACAACAACAATAATAAAATATATATATAAATTGAATGTCGATGATATCAATTTAGATACACACTTCTCCCCAAAATTTTCATCATCAAATGTCTTTGCGCGTATCCTCAGAAAACGTGAAAATAATATGCACATAATAATATTATTGTATATATAATACATACCTTTTTATAAATAATAAAAAGAGTAAACAAAAACAGGCGAAAATTTCAAACAAAAGAAATGTAGATAATGTTAATACCAATACGAAGAACAAAAAAAAAAAAGAGCTGAGAGATTTTAAAAAAAAAAAAAAGGAGAATGGATCTGGAATCTTCTATTCCTTCGATTTAACCCCATCATAAAAAAAAATAATGGGTTGTAGTGTACTGTCGTCCTTACAAAAGGCCTTATCTTCTCTATTTGAAAGACAAATTAAACAAACAAACAAAAACAAAAACAAAAACATCTCTCTGCTCTTAAATGTCTCTCTTTCTTTCTATTTTTCTTTACAACCCCTCACACCTTCCTTCCCTCACTCTCCCACACACAATTGTCAAGGATTGTAATTATTCTTTCTCTCTCTCCCCTTTCATATATATATATATATATATATATATTCACCGAGTTACTTTGCCTTTGGCCGCTTAAACAGCAGTACGTGTGGCTCTGGCTTGTGGAACATGTAATGCCGCCAGCCGACGGACTGCTGGACGCCCAACTGCCGCCACTCCGCCTCGTCCATCAGCCGCGTGCGGGGGACCAGCCGGGCGAAGTCTTTGGGGAGAATCACGTGGCGGTACTCGTACTCGTCGTCGTAGTACTTCTCGCTGTAGAGGATCTTGGACTGCAGTTTGCTAATCATATGCCGCGCCTGCTCCTTCTGCACGGGGTCGGTGATGGAGAAGTAATCACGCGCCGCCATCGGTACACACACACACACACTTTATTTTATACTCACTTGTACTTCTTTTTCTTTTTTTTTGTTTTTTGTTTTTCTTCTGCCCTTTCCCTTGGGTCTAGACGTTAAGAGAGTCCTCTCTAATCGTGATTCG